ATTTGACATGAAAAAGCCAGTTAAGAATGTGTGACCATCATCTCTAGTATAGTCTTGGGTCCCTGTTCAAATCCATCCCACCATGAAGGAACACAATGGACAATAAGGAATTTATTCAAAAGACATAGAAGTCTTCAGGAAGCTGAGGTGCGAAAAGCCCTTGAGTCCAGGAGTTCTAGACCAGCCTGGGCAACATAGGGAGACTGTGTCTCTATAAAAAATAAAACAATTAGCTGGGTGTGGTGGTGCATGCCTGTGGTCCCCGCCAATCAGATGGCTAAGGTGGGAGGATGGCTTCAGTGTGGGAGGTTGACGACATACTAAGCCATGATGGTGCCACTGCACTCCAGCCTAGGAGACAAAGTGAGACCCTATATCAAAAAAAAAAAAAAAAAGACATACAGGCCACTGTTCTCCATCAAGCTTATTCTACTTGCAATTTAAGGCAGCCTCTTTGAAAACAACCTCCACAAGGCTTGTCAGTCCACTTTTCCCTAATTGTTTACAAGTTACAGGCTACCATACCAAGCAAGGGCCCCTCTTGCCATGGTTAAACTCCAAAGTACCTAGAAGTTAAGGAGTAGAGAAAAATATCATTTCAAGAGGAATAGCATACTCCTTTTCTTTTCTTTTCTTTTCTTTTTTTAACGCCCTTTGCTTTGACCTCAGTTGCAAGAGAACACACAATATATTGCTCATTTAAAAGCATCAGATGGTGCTGCAGACATCCTCTTCTACCCTGCAGGTGACCTATGATGGCAAAATGGTAACTTTGAGGTCCCCACTGAACTATCACTCCAGACAAAGGACAATATGGCTCATCTCCATGGAGAAAAACAGATCTGTTTGTCAGATGTGAACATATCTGACCCTGGGAAATGGTTGGAGGCAGATGTTCAAGGGAGGTGATGAATGACTTTCTCTTTCCTATGGCAGATATGGAACAGACATTCCAAAACAAAGGTATCTGTGCTTAGCCGGGAAAAAGAGTTCATAATGTGAAGTTATTAGGATGTTGGTTCTACATCCTCATCTAAACCAGCTGGTGACCTTACTAATATTCTTCTCCCAGACAATACTAAGGAAATTGGTATGCTCAGGTCCAAGTGTCAGCCAGAGCTAATGCAGAGATCTATAATAATGAGTCTCCAAGATCAAAGGGTGGACAGCAGTGAGATAAATCTTTATTCACGGATGGTCCTGGTGATTCTCTTTCTTCCCTCTTTTTGTGGTTTCACAGAGCTAGCTCAGCAGGACTGTTTGACTCACTGATACCAGCTACATTGGTATATAAAGTACCTACTCCCTTCTCCCTTTTTCCAACAAGGCCATTGCCCCAACCAGGAAGCTCTCAGTGATACACAGTTGATTAGATGCTCTCTATGCCCTCCCAATTCCCCTATAATTTTGTAAAGTGATACGTGAGAAGGGGGTTCCTCTCAGCAGCATCTTTTATGGTGAATTCAGCTTTGCTTAATCTAAGTCTATCTCTGTATGGAATCATGACAACTCGGGGGATATTTTATCCTCTATTGCTTCCTGGATTGCAAGGTTTCCTCTATAAAATCTACCTTATGACTACTATTTGGGTCACTAGTCATATGCCCCTTAACTGTTATCCCAGTTAACTGAGGATATTAAAAGCTCCTTTAGTCTAGATCTTTTAGTTATAACATAAATTTTCATTTGTAGAAATTTATTTTGATAAAAATTGAAAAGAAACAAAACATTTTAACAGCTTTTATTTCACAATTAGATAATGCCTTTTCTTCATTGTTAACACCTTCCTTGACCACCCAATCTAAATTATCCTTCCCTGTGACTGTCAGATATGTAGTTGCATTACCTTCATGTATTAGTCTCCAAAATCATCTTGTTTATTTATTTTTACTTGTTTATGTTTTGTCTCTTCTGTTATAATGTAAGTACCACAAGAGAAGGCATCTTATCTGTCTGATTTTTCAGTAAAACACAATACCCCAAAAAGAACTGGACATATGAAGGTGACAAAAGTACCTGTTGAATGAGTTGGGTGAATAAATGAATGAGTAAATTCAACAGCTAATCATCTAATCTATGGAGAAAAAAAATGGACATGTTCCACCACTCTTCTCTTGTATGTTTTTGTGCTTTATAGAAAACCCAAGTAATAGTGAAAGTCCTAATGAAAGTGTTTAGAAAGAAATAGGTTGACTGTGTAACTCTTAAAAATAAAACACCATGAATTAGTTTACATTTTCATTTCTAAAAAGTGTGAATTTCAATGCCGCAAAACATTTAAGAAAAGCTAACAACACACATGATGTGAAACAATAAATCATTAAAATCTATTGTTTGATTATTTACCACTAACTCCATTCCCTAAGCCAAAATAAACTGATAAATGTTGTAAAGAGCAAAATTGTACTTTATTGTAAGCAATACCATGTATCTGCTCAGGTGGGGTCTCCTTACTTCGCTCCCATCCACTCTCTGAAGGTTTGGGAGACTTTTCCAAAGTATTTCAGAAACTCTATTAGGATCTAAGAAGTAACCCAAAATGAAGGTTGATGAATAATATTGTGCCATGTGCTTAATAGTTTGAATTTTTATTATATTTAGCAATATAATATAATATGTAATGTATTATATTATATTATTATATAATATATAATAATTAACCTAAATCTATTGAGGGCAATTCTATAAAACCTATCAAGCTGAAACAACCTATTTCATCTCATATTTCCCATTATTGTCCTTAGTCTAGGATCCAAACAAAATGAATTTTTGGCCTTTTCCTGAGCACACTGTATAGATTCTAAACATCCTCGTCTTTGCCTCAAAGCAAAGTTCTGTCCACTCGACACACCCTTTCCTCACATTTCCTGTTAAAATCCAACCCAACCATCCTTCTTAAATTAAATGGTATGTAATTCTTAATCCAGTCAGAAACAACTTTTCCTCTTCTTTGATGTAGCTTCTTGGTAATGTTTTATAGAATGCAACGTCTGCATTATACTCCACTTATTTTTGTACATGTCTAGTCGACCCTACTAGACTGTTAATGCATTGAGGGCAATGACCATATATTTAAAGCCCTTTATATCCCATAATACCCAGTACAGTGCCTTGCACAGCATGGATGCTCAGTCAGTGTTTTCTCATTTGAGCTAAACTGAATTGAAATGAATTACAATCATCTTCCTCCTGAAGTTATTACATCAATCAACATTTCTAGGGGAAAAAAGGCATTTAAGAGGGATTATTTGATATATTCATTCTATGATTTTTTTTAATCTTGATGTCCTATCATCCTCATTCTGTTGTTCTCCATTGAACCCTTCTTCCATTCTATCACTTCTCATTAAAATTCTAAAATGTGACTTATCAGAAAAGTAGAATGAGGGCTGGCAGGGGTAGTAACTCACTAGGTAATATTATCATAATGCCTCTTTAAGATTTTTCCAAACACCCATGGAAAGTAACTGAGACTGCCTTACCATGTCTTCATAGAGACTAGAAACTCTCTTTAAAATGCTTTTTGTAAGCCAATGTTTGTATTTTCTGGGAGTTACCAATGTACAAAGAGCCTATCACATTTATCAGCAGCAACTAAATGTTCAATATTAAAACAACTTATATCAAAAGTTACCACCTCGTGTTCTTCAGGGTGATAAACTACTGGCTCTGCAGGATTTTCAAAGGCTATAGGTCACCATGATTGCATGGAAAACTATAGTAATATTTCATGCTCTACCATAATCTGAGTATGAATATAAGAGCACCAGCCGGGCACAGTGGCTCACGCCTGTAATCCCAACACTTTGGGAATCCAAGGTGAGTGGATCACCTGAGGACAGGAATTTGAGACCAGCCTGGCCAACATGGCAAAACCCCGTCTCTACTAAAAATATAAAAGTTAGCCGGGCACGGTGGCGGGCACCTGTAATCCCAGCTACTGGGGAGGCTGAGGCAGGAGAATCACTTGAACCCGGGAGGCGGAGGTTGCAGTGAGCTGAGATCATGCCACTGCCCTCCAGCCTGGGCAATAAGAGCCAGATTCCATCTAAAAAAAAAAAAGCACCATGCTTTTGCTTTATTTCTTCCTATTTCTGCATGATACATAAGTTCCCATTACTGTTGCAGATAATTATTAATACTTTTCCTTATACATTCTCAAATGCTGACCATACATATTTAAAATACAAAGAAATCAACAATAAGAAACCAACCATAATAAGTTTGCAAAGCAACAAGTGGACCAATGTCTAATTTTCTCTTGCACATTGTATTTAAAACATGTAGTTTTTAGTATATATCTAGTTAGTATTTAAAATATATACTTTTAAATATAAACATTCACTACAAACATTTAAAATGAACATTTTCAAAACTTCTGGCCATTAATCATTACACTTATTACCTAATTCTTGCTAATTCACCTGGGTCTATAATCCATAAATATTTAAAATGGCAATGAAGTACATAAATGCATACTTCTAGGTAATTCCTCTTTACTCCATGGTAATGTGAATCAAGAAAGTCTGTGAATCAATCATAATATAATAATCAAAGAGACTCACTAGTGAAAACTATAAGATTCAATTGGATGAATCAATCAACTCAATTATATATGTGAATGCATGTACATATATATGTGTGCGTATAGTAACTGAGTTAAAATAGAAGGTAAAAATGATTTTTCAGTAAGTTGTTTATGTATCTAGCTCATGCATCTTGATGATAACTAAGTTGAAAATAATTTTAATTGTTGTTGTCAGAAAAAAAAAGTGTGTTTGTACATAGACCTGGTCCTTAATTTAAATTTTTCATTTAATTTTTACTTTTGACTGCATCAACTCCTTAAACTTTGAAATCTAAAGTTTCTAACATTTTCTACTTAAAATTAGTTTCAAAGAGTTTTGTGACAAAATTTAATATGGTTATTTTCATTACTTAGGTATGCAAACTGATAAAGATTAGAAAATGACAGAACAAATTTTTAAAAAGTGTTTTACCTTTTTTCAATCAGTCTTCCGCTTTGGGCAGTGATCTGTGATAAAGATAATACTAGATTTAAAAATATCAAGTATGCATATACAATGTTTACATTCAGTCATTTAGAAAAATGTCATTTAATATGACAATTTTGTAAGATTAAGGTATCAAAAAAGCAAATAAATTATCATATTTTAGCATTGGAAGAGACACTATGGAAGGAGAGTAGGCCCTAAAATTACACTTGTATTTCTAAATTAAGAGCAAATAAGGTTTTATACTTTTAGTAAACAAAAATTTTTTTTTTGAATGAAAGAAAAGCATGTTTATTAGAGCAACGGAGTACAAGAAAACATCTGCTCCATAGACAGAGCAGGCCTGCTCCATAGGCAGAGTAGCCCAAAATTTATTTCAAACTTATCTATTACATAATTATCTAATCCTTTTAAATATTCTTGTTGAAGGATGTATAATGCTAATATTATGCATAATAAACTGTGGAGGTGATTTTTGTAATTTATCAATTTTAAAATAAGTATACTGAGAATACATGTTCAAATATGTTTACAGAAGTACGTAACCAACAGTGTTAGGCCAGCCGGGCAAGGTGGCTCACAACTGTAATCCCAGCACTTTGGGAGGCCAAGGCAGGCAGATCACCTGAGGTCAAGAGTTCAAGACTAGCCTGGCCAACATGGCGAAACCCTGTCTCCACTAAAAATACAAAAATTAGCTGGGTGTGGTGGCAGGCTCCTGTAATCCCAGCTACTCGGGAGGCTGAGAGAGGAGAATTGTCTGAACCTGAACCAAGGAGGCAGAGGTTGCAGTGAGCCAAGATCGCACCATTGCACTCCAGTCTGGGCAACAGAGTGAGACTCCGTCTCGGGAAAAAAAAAAAAAAAAAAAAGGCCAGTGGCCTTAAAAGTGTGATTTTTATTAATAAATTACCTCTTGTGAATATAATACATACTTTCCTATAGTATAAATGTTGATTGTAGGCTTTATTCTGGACCTGATTTTCATCTAATTCAGTTTCTTTTATGCAGAGATTAACTAGTTTTATCCTTATTCCCCTGTGGCAAAGACTTCTAAATGGTCAACAAACTAATTTTCTCTTCTTCTTAGACACATTGTTAGTCTACATTTGTTAATTCTCCCTGTAGTTAAACGTAGCAAATAGAATGTGAGAAAAAAGGATGTGCATCTCCTCCAGCCAGGTCAATGAAAATTACTCATGTTTGTCCTCCATATTCTTTTCTGATAGCTAGGTAACTATGCCCAGTGTGGCTCAGGAAGCCACATGTAAGATGGCAAACCTTCCATATGCCAGGATACCTTAACAACCCTGTGGAGCAGAACTCCTTACCACGAACACTGACCTTGAACTTCCTTGGACTATTAACACCAGGAAAGAAGCTTCCATTGTGTTAGAGCCATCATACATTTTGTGTCTATATGTCACAATAGTCACAATAGTTATCCTATATACTAACTAATAAATCATCAATGATTTTCATACAGCCTATGCAGACAACTCCTACAGAGCTAAACAGGGATGCAAAAATAACAGTTACATAGGACTTCATGATACACAAAAGCAGTTCATAAGCATTATCTCATTATACCCTCACAGTATTCTCTTTTTTTTTTTTTTTTTTTTTTTTTTTTTTTTTTTTGAGACAGAGTCTCATTCTGTCATGCAGGCTGGAGTACAGTGGCACTATCTGGGCTCACTGCAACCTCTGCCTCCCGGGTTCAAGTGATTCTTCTGCCTCAGCCTCCAGAACAGCTGGGATTATAGGCACACACCACCGTGCCTGGCTAATTTTTCTTTTTTTTTTTTTTTTTTTTTTTAAGTAGAGACAGGGTTTCACCATATTGGCCAGGCTGGTCTCCAACTCTTGACCTCAAGTGATCCTCCTGCCCACCTCCCAAAGTGCTGGGATTACAGGCATGAGCCACTGTACCCGGCCACAGTATTCTTATAAAGTATTATCATCCTCCATTAATTAAAAGTTTATAGATAATTATGTATAGTTCCTGACAGAAACAATAATAGTTCTTGCCCCTCCCTCTGAATTAAAAAAGACTATTATTCTAATAAACAACCTCAAAAACAGATGCAAAAACAAAAAGGCACTACTTTTTCCAACTTGTCATTATGACATACATATCACAGGGCTTTTGTGTAATATAGTGTCCAATAGTAGGAGTTCCAAATATTTTTCCTTTACTTGTAAATTTTAGGTGTCTATAGCAAAGGGTGATAAGGTGGCTTCCCTGTGAAGCTCAGACCCAAGAGCATTGAGGCCTTCCCACCTCAGATGAGAAAGCCTGCTCTTGATACTAATAATATCACAGCTCCACAGCCAACCAAGAGCACTATGATACCCAGGAGAGCTCTATCAGCAGAAAAAATGAAATTAATTTATAGTTACAATATATACAAAAACCTTATTAATTATGGGATCAATAAAAGGGAAGAATACATCTACCCCACTGATGCGCAATTATCCTCTTTACAAACAGTATCTTACATGTTATTCCTTTACCCAGAAATTTTCTTTTCCGAAAATTGAAGACCAAACTGCTTGATTTAGCATTCGATTCAGGAATTTTCACAATCTCATACTTATCTATTAATACTCATGATAGGCAGCCTCTAAAATGGCTACCAGCGATCCCTGCTCACGGTGTTCACGCCAGTGGTATACCTTTCCCTTGTGTGTGAGCTGGCGCTAGTGACTACTTCCACTTTTAATGAACTGGATATGACAAAAGTGATGGAATGTCACTTCCAAGATTAGATTCTCTCTCTGTCTCTGTCTCCATGTCGATTTTTCTCCATCTATGTCTCCCTATATCTCACTCTGCCTTTGTTTCCATGTTGTAAGCTACATTATGGAGAGGCCCCTATAGCAAAGTACTGATGTCTCAAATCAATAGCCAGCAAGAACCTGAGGCCTAACAACAGTCATGTGAGTACATGAATGAGTTTGGGAGTACATCCTTCTCCAGTTGGACCTTAAAATACATACAGCCAAGGGTAATGCCTTGGCTACATCCTTGTGAGAGGGAACCTGAGCCAGAGGACACAGCTAAGGAACATTAGGATTCCTGACCTACAAATATTCTGAGACAGTACATGTTTGCTGTCTATACCACTAAATTTTGGCATAATTTGTTATGTTGCAAAAAATAACTGAAACAGTACTTTTGTTTCTCATTTATCTTTTAACCAGATACATTTTAGGAAATGGAGAAGGGAGAAACAGTGTTTCAAGCAGAGAACAAAATAGGCAAAATACTTAAGGTTACAGAAAACACCATATGTTCTATAAACTTAAAGAAGGTTCAGTGTAGCTAAAGCATAAAATATATGATACACATGTGCATATGAAAGCATGTGCAATAGCCTGGGGGGATAATTAAAGATGAGGCTGGGGCCTCAGGAAAAGACCAGATCTAACAAAGCCTTAAACCATAATTAGGACTTTGTTCTTAAAGTAAGGGCAGTAGAAAGCATTCAAGATTTTAGGCAAGAAGGTAACAAACAAATATCAATTTTTGCAAGATGACTAGCCACCAACAAGGAGACTGGCCTGGAAAGAGAGAGACCAATTAGAGTCCTGGTGGGAGCTTGACTAACAGAACTGTCAGTAATATTGACAAAACTGGACAGAATTTGATAGATAATAATTGGGTCAAGACGAAGGAAAAGAAGAAATAACAGTGATGCTGGACTTTATAGTTTCAGCAATTAGATGGATGAGGATGCCAGGAGACTGAATACTGAGAGATAAAGCAGGTCTGAGAAGAACTCAATTGGTTCATTTAGGGACATGGTGAATTCTAGATGTTTGAAGTCCATCGAAATAGAAAAATTCAGTATGTTAATGAATAATAGGTCTGGAAATGAGGTGTAATTCAAGTTAGAGATAAGAGATTTATATGGCCCTAGAAGCCATGAAGGTATATGAGCATGTTCAGAAAGAGTATATGGAATAAAAAGAAACTCTAGGACAGAACCCAGAGAAGTACTAACATTTAAAGAATGAGCAAAGCAAGAGGAGACGAAAGAGGCGTTCCAAAAATATATAAGGAAAACCAAATAATTATGCTGTTTCTCAAACAAACTATAGACTATCTATGTACCCCAGAACTTAAAGTATAATACAAAAATATTTAAAAATAAATGATTAAACATGGTTAAATGCTGCTAAGAGGACAAATGAGATTAAACTATAAATCATCTGGCCGGGCGTAGTGACTCATGCCTGGAATCCCAACACTTTGGGAGGTTGAGGCAGGTGGATCACCTAAGGTCTGGAGTTCGAGACCAGCCTGACCAACATGGTGAAACTCCATCTCTACTAAAAATATAAAAACTTAGCCAGGTGTGGTGGCAGGCACCTGTAATATCAGCTACTCAGGAGGCTGAGGCAGGAGAATCACTTGAATCTGGGAGGCAGAGGTTGTAGTGAGCTGAGATCACAACATTGCACTCCAGCCTGGGCAACAAGAGAGAAACTCCATCTCAAAAAATAAAAAGAAAGAAAGAAAAAAACTATAAAGCATCCTTCTGAATAGCATCAAATAGATTTGTTGTAACCTTGGCAAAAATAGTTTTAATACGGTGATTGAGAAAGAAGATTACAGTTAAATTACTATAAGAACATGGACAGTGAGTATAAACTTCTATAACATCAAAATCTCCAATAATGATATCTCCTGTTTCACTATTACCAGAACAAGCCATCTGAATACATGACATTATATACACCATCTGTGCAAAGAACCTAGCATATAATAGATGTTTAGTTAATGAGTGTTAAGCTAGATACACAAGAAGACAGATGTGTATTGATCTATATATAAACCCACTAAAATTAGAATCACTTACGTGTGAAAGCAATGTGATGTTTTAGCTACTGTTCTGCTAAGGTTCATTTTAATATTTAATCTAACTTTTTCTGTCATATATGAAAACCTTTGTTTTGGATTAGGAGATAAATACTGGGAAATAGAAAACAATAAAGCTTTTAACAAAGCAAGTTTCAAATGCAGCCATGTAGACAAGCAAAGAAGATATCTTCAGATGTGATTTTGGAGCTGGAAAGACCTGAATTTGAAATCTAACTCAATATTACTCACTGTAATGTGGCATGGCTAATTTTTTAAAGTTTTGGTTTCATCCTCAAAATGGAGGTGCTAATAGCTATCTTATGGTCTTGTGTAAATGACTAGCCCATATACATAGATATAAAATGACTAGCAGATTTTATAATAATGGCAGATATAAAATGACTCGCAGATTTTATAATAATAGCAGCTATAAAATGACTAGCAGATTTTAAGTTGTGCTGCTTCTTTTGTTCTTTGTCTTAAAGCAGCTGACAGACAATCCTACATTTCTTTAAATATTTTATATTCAATTCAGTGTACCTTACTCCATTTATATACATGACCTAACAACTTTAATAATTTTTATTGCCCTCAGAGAAACTGTCTTTATTATATATCTTTCCAGGAAGAAGTTGAGGTCATTCACAATAAAAATTACACAAAAAGAGAAGGTAAAAATAAAGGACTCAAATCTCAGATGCTGATGTGGTCATTCAAAATCAGTATATATTTAAGTCATAGTTTAGTATTCAAGATAATAATGAGTTGACATATCCAGAAGGTAAAGGGAAAAAGTAAAAACAAACCCAAAAACAGAAGCATGATTTTTTAAATAACATATACAAATGAAGTAAATAATAATATAAAAGACAAACTTCTCACAACATATACTACTGTCTCCATTTTGGTTATTTCCTCACCTGTGGATATTCTTGGATTTTATCACTTGTCTTCTGTCCACCTGAATCTGAAACCAGTGATTTTCCTGTTTCCTTCTCCAGTGGTATAGTTTTTGAATCTTCACCTTTAACTTCTGTTTGACTATTACCCACTCGCATGGTTGTCTCAGTTTTCCCCTCACTTTTAAGTAACTTCCTCTCTTGACTTAGGAAATAGTTAAGTTGATGCTTAGCTTTTTCAGCTTCCTGTTTTTAAAAAAGTACCAGTTTATTAAGCATTTTCTGATATTTTCCTGCCAATACTACCACATTCAGAAATCTACATATATTTATGCCTACATGATTTCTCAACTCATTTTTACTGAGTTGAAGTGAGCAAAGGTAAGCTATTGGCATAATTCATACTTTAATAATCCCGCAGTTAAAATCAGAAGTTATGAAGAAACCTCTTCCACCTTTGAGGGCTATTTTTATACCCACGAGTTTCTCCTGGCTGTTATTTTTAAGGCTCTAATTATTATACAAGCAAAATAAAAATTCATATAAGGTATATATTATAAAAACTGATAGACTATAAGAAGGATAATTAGCACCTATAATATCAAAGAATGAAATAAAATGTGGAAAACAACTTATTTATTCTGGAATAAAATTCTTCTCAAAAATGTCACTTTTTATAATTTTTATTTAGTCATACAATTAACTTACTTATATAAAAGAATATATAAACAAAAAGAAAATTCACAAATAATCTCACCTCATAAAGAAAAATTACTACTAACATTTTGAGGTATATCCTTTCTAAACTTTTCTAAATATAGCTAGTGTGTGTATATATATATATACACACTACATATATATATACACACACACATACACACTATATACACATATATAGTGTGTGTACATATATATATACACTAGCTATATTTAGAAAAGTTTAAATATATATATGCAGGTTTTTTTGCAACCTCTAGTCTCCTGGGTTTAAGACATCCCCCCACCTCAGCCTCCCAAGTAGCTGAGACTACAGGCTCACACCACCACACTCAGTCAGTCTGTGTATTTTTAGTAGAGACAGGGTTTCACCACGTTGCCCAGGCTGATTGCCAACTCTTGGGCTCAAAGTGATCCACCAGCCTCGGCCCCCCAAAGTGCTGGGATTACAGGCATGAACCACCATGCCCAGCCAAATTTTTTAAATGTTTATCTAAATTGGGTCATACTATACATACTCACATATTATGCTCTTTTCATTAAATAATGTCATAGATATGTTTCTATAACAATAAATGTACATTTAAATCAGAATAGGTAACAGAAGTACATTTAATAATATACCATAATTGTCTTAGCAAACTCCTTATCAATGGACATTTAGATCATTCAAAATTTTTGCTATGACAACATATGACATTGTACATACTTGTGCAAACTCTCTGTCTACCTGTATACTTTTTTCTTCTTTAGGACAAACTTTTAAAAGCTTTTATTGAGTGAAAAGGCTACATCTTTCCAAGTTTGCTGTCTTTTCTGTCTCCCAGAAAAGACATAACAAATATCTTTCATACTTCTATTATCAAAAAAATGAGGAATATATCAATTCATACTTTTTTGATAATAGAAGTATGAGAAAAGTTGCTCATTTCAGTATATAACCACAAATACTACATATTTCTGTCCTTTACATTTTTACCAAGATGGGAGGCAAAACAATTTTATAATACACAAATATACTTTTGTATATTCATTTATGAAATGCTTATAGTTTTTTTCATTTCTTATAGTATTATTTAACTAGAATTTTAAAAAGAGTAATAAGAGTTAACATCTTGGTTCAACTAAGTTTAATTGGAATGCCTGCAGTATTTTACCTTTAAGTATATTGCTTATCAGCTTGAAATACATTGTCTTTTTTCTTTTCCTTTTCTTTTTTTTATACTGCAACCATGACAGATGAATAGATTGCCGTTATTAGCTTAAGAAAGTTTGTTTTTCTTTATATCTCACTATTTTTGATAAGAATGAATATTAAATTTTATTAATATATCCCTAATGCATAAAATGAATATAGTTTAAACCTGGCCAAACAGGAGAATATGTAGACCTCTTAGCTTACAAAGCAAAAATTATTCATTTGAAAAGTTCTTTGTGGATATTTTCTTTACTTGTTAACAATGTTAAAGAAACATGACATCCTTTACCTGTAAAGCCTGTTTCAATTGTTCCTGAAGGACTTTGTTCTCAATTTCCAGACGTGCTACTTTCTAGGAAGTAACAAAAGGGAAAACGGTATTTACTTTGGTATTTTTAATTAATTTAGTTTTACCGGTATTACTTTTCTAAAACCCATAGATAGCCAAGATAAGATTTGAGCATAGACATTGAACTGCACACCTTTCAGGTGTAATGATGGATAATGCCTGAAGCTAAAGCTTCCTATTGATTTTTCACAGGCAAACTGAGCATGAATCGGGGAAATTACGATTGCAATAAATTAAACGTTTCATTTCTCCTTTCCTCTAGGCCTGAAATATTTAAAAAGAAAATTTTCAAATTTTACTAAAAGAAGAACCTTTACTCTTAACACAAAATAAACATTGTTCTGGCTTTGTGCAAATGAGCAAATTCTATTTCACGTGATGTTCCAGGAATTCTCCATCAAATTAAAGACACTTTGAGGACCATATTTAGAGTTCCCAGTTTTGCTTCTGATATGACTGAGTTCTCACTGGACAAATGCTGCCACACATAACAACCATAAACTCTGGACTAAATACAAGTATCAACAATAGGAGAACAATCAGGAGTAGGCAGATTTGTTAACTGTTTTGTTTTATTTTATTTTATTTTTTTTATTTTATTTTTTAGAGACAGGGTCTTGCTCTGTTACCCAGGCTAGAGTGCAACAGTGGGTTCCTAGCTCACTGCAGTCTCAAATTCATAGGCTCAAGTCATCCTCCTGCCTCAGCCTTCCAAAGCATGGGGATTATAGGCATGAGCCACCACACACCCAGCCAAGTGTAAGTAGATTCTTGAGGGAAGGTGACACTTGGAGGAAGGGAAGAACTCTAGGTAAGATTCTCATTTTTGTGGTTTTTAGTTTGAGAGCAATTCCTATCTGAGCCATTCAAGGTGCCTAATAGCTGATTTTAAAACCACCAGAGGACAGAGTTCAGGACAATTCAAGCCACTGGAAAGGTTAGAGGGAAATTATACACAGAAAAGAATATAAGAAAGGGAGCCCCAGATTCTTTGTATAAACTCTACCCGTATCTCCACCTGACCCCTGAACCACATATGCATAAAGAAGACTAAGAAGCCTAGCAAAAGCTAAAAAATCTAAAATACAATTTGAGCTGCTACCTAAATATATAATTTACATTTTGAATCCAATAGTATTAATTATATATTAAAGAAAAAAAAAACATCAGAAGAATATAACACAATCTAGGGTTTCAAGAATATGATATTCATAATTGCCAGGATATAATTTAGAAATACTTGACATTTGAAGAAACAGAAAAGTGAAACTAATTCTTAAGATAAAAGACAATGAGGGGGGCGGAGCAAGATGGCCGAATAGGAGCAGCTCCAGTCTCCAACTCCCAGTGTGAGCGACACAGAAGACAGGTGATTTCTGCATTTTCAACTGAGGTACTGGGTTCATCTCACTAGGGAGTGCGGGATAGTCGGTGCTGGTCAGCTGCTGCAGCCCGACCAGCGAGAGCTGAAGCAGGGCGAGGCATCACCTCACCTGGGAAGTACAAGGGGGAAAGGAATCCCTTTTCCTAGCCAGGGGAACTGAGACACACAACACCTGGAAAATCGGGTAACTCCCACCCCAATGCTGCGCTCTACCAAGGATCTTAGCAAACGGGCACACCAGGAGATTATATCCCACACCTGTCCGGGAGGGTCCCACGCCCACGGAGCCTCAATCGTTGCTAGCAGTCTGCCATCTCCCAGGCAAGGAAGCAGCGAGGCTGGGGGAGGGCGCCCACCATTGCTGAGGCTTAAGTAGATAAACAAAGCAGCTGGGAAGCTCGAACTGGGTGGAGCTCACAGCAGCTCAAGGAGTCCTGCCTGTCTCTGTAGACTCCACCTCTGGGGACAGGGCACAGCTAAACAACAACAACAAACACCAAAAAAAAGCAGCTGAAACTTCTGCAGACACAAACGACTCTGTCTGACAGCTTTGAAGAGAGCAGTGGATCTCCCAACATGGAGGTTGAGATCTGAGAACGGACAGAATGCCTGCTCAAGTGGGACCCCTGAGTAGCCTAACTGGGAGACATCCCCCACTAGGGGCAGACCGACACCCCACACCTCACACAGTGGAGTACACCACTGAGAGGAAGCTTCCAAAGCAAGAATCAGACAGGTACACTCGCTGTTCAGCAATATTCTATCTTCTGCAGCCTCTGCTGCTGACACCCAGGCAAACAAGGTCTGGAGTGGACCTCAAGCAATCTCCAACAGACCTACAGCTGAGGGTCCTGACTGTTAGAAGGAAAACTAACAAACAGGAAGGACACCCACACCAAAAACCCCATCAGTACATCACCATCATCGAAGACCAGAGGCAGATAAAACCACAAAGATGGGGAAAAAGCACGGCAGAAAAGCTGGAAATTCAAAAAATAAGAGCGCATCGCCGCCTGCAAAAGGAACGCAGCTCATCGCCAGCAACAGATCAAAGCTGAACAGAGAATGACTTTGACGAGATGAGAAAAGAAGGCTCCAGTCCATCAAACTTCTCAGAGCTAAAGGAGGAATTACGTACCCAGCGCAAAGAAACTAAAAATCTTCAAAAAAGAGTGGAAGAATTGATAACTGAATAATTAATGCAGAGAAGGTCATAAACGAATTGACAGAGATGAAAACCATGACACGAGAAATACATGACAAATGCACGAGCTTCAGTAACTGACTCGATCAACTGGAAGAAACAGTATCAGCGATTGAGGATCAAACTAATGAAATGAAGCGAGAAGAGAAACCTAAAGAAAAAAGAAGAAAAAGAAATGAACAAAGCCTGCAAAAAGTATGGGATTATGTAAAAAGACCAAATCTACATCTCATTGGGGTGCCTGACAGTGAGGGGGAAAATGGAACCAATCGGAAAACACTCTTCAGGATATCATCCAGGAGAACTTCCCCAACCTAGTAGGGCAGGCCAACATTCAAATTCAGGAAATACAGAGAACGCCACAAGATACTCCTCGAGAAGAGCAACTCCAAGACACATAATTGCCAGATTCACCAAAGTTGAAATGAAGGAAAAGATCTTAAGGGCAGCCAGAGAGAAAGGTCGGGTTACCCACAAAGGGAAGCCCATCAGACTAACAGCAGATCTCTCGGCAGAAACTCTACAAGCCAGAAGAGAGTGGGGGCCAATATTCAACATTCTTAAAGAAAAGAATTTTAAATCCAGAATTTCATATCCAGCCAAACTAAGTTTCATAAGTGAAGGAGAAATAAAATCCTTTACAGATAAGCAAATGCTTAGAGATTTTGTCACCACCAGGCCTGCCTTACAAGAGACCCTGAAGGAAGCACTAACATAGAAAGGAACAACCGGTACCAGCCATTGCAAAAACATGCCAAAATGTAAAGACCATCGAGGCTAGGAAGAAACTGCATCAACTAATGAGCAAAATAACCAGTTAATATCATAATGGCAGGAGCAAGTTCACACATAACAATATTAACCTTAAAGGTAAATGGACTAAATGCTCCAAATAAAAGACACAGACTGGCAAACTGGATAAATAGTCAAGACGCATCAGTTTGCTGTATTCAGGAGACCCATCTCACATGCAGAGACATACATAGACTCAAAATAAAGGGATGGAGGAAGATCTACCAAGCAAATGGAGAACAAAAAAAAGCAGGGGTTGTAATACTAGTCTCTGATAAAACAGACTTTAAACCATCAAAAATCAAAAGAGACAAAGAAGGCCATTACATAATGGTAAAGGGATCAATTCAACAGGAAGAGCTAACTATCCTAAATATATATGCACCCAATTCAGGAGCACCCAGATTCATAAAGCAAGTCCTTAGAGACTTACAAAGAGACTTAGAGTCCCATACAATAATAATGGGAGACTTCAACACCCCACTGTCAACATTAGCCAGAACAATGAGACAGAAAGTTAACAAGGATATCCAGGAATTGAACTCATCTCTGCAGCAAGCAGACCTAATAGACATTTACAGAACTCTCCACCCCAAAGCAACAGAATATACATTCTACTCAGCACCACATCACACTTATTCCAAAATTGACCACATAATTGGAAGTAAAGTACTCCTCAGCAAATGTACAAGAACAGAAATTGTAACAAACTGTCTCTCAGACCACAGTGCAATCAAACTAGAACTCAGGACTAAGAAACTCAATAAAAACCGCTCAACTACATGGAAACTGAATAACCTGCTCCTGAATGACTACTGGGTACATAACGAAATGAAGGCAGAAATAAAGATGTTCTTTGAAACCAATGAGAACAAAGATACAACATACCAGAATCTCTGGGACACATTTAAAGCAGTGTGTAGAGGGAAATTTATAGCACTAAATGCCCACAAGAGAAAGCAGGAAAGATCTAAAACTGACACTCTAACATAACAACTAAAAGAACTAGAGAAGCAAGAGCAAACACATTCAAAAGATAGCAGAAGGCAAGAAATAACGAAGATCAGAGCAGAACTGAAGGAGATAGAGACACAAAAAACCCTCCAAAAAATCAATGAATCCAGGAGTTGGTTTTTTGAAAAGATCAACAAAATTAATAGACCGCTGGCAAGATTAATAAAGAAGAAAAGAGAGAAGAATCAAATAGATGCAATAAAAAATGATAAAGGGGATATCACCACCAACACCACAGAAATACAAACTACCATCCGAGAATACTATAAACACCTCTATGCAAATAAACTAGAAAATCTAGAAGAAATGAATAAATTCCTGGACACTTACACTCTCCCAAGACTAAACCAGGAAGAAGCGGAATTCCTGAATAGACCAATAGCAGGCTCTGAAATTGAGGCAATAATTAATAGCCTACCAACCAAAAAAAAGTCCAGGACCAGATAGATTCACAGTTCAATTCTACCAGAGGTACAAGGAGGAGTTGGTACCATTCCTTCTGAAACTATTCCAATCAATAGAAAAAGAGGGAATCCTCCCTAACTCATGTTATGAGGTCAACAGCATCCTGATACCAAAGCCTGGCAGAGACACAACAAAAAAAGAGAA